GTTTTGTTATACATGACCAAAGTTTTAATTGAAGCCAACAAAAATTATGATAAATCAAAGCGGAAATTTTAAGCTTGATGTGCTCTCTGTTTTTGTACTGTTTTTGCAATAAAATAGCAAATACGCGCACATGTTTTCATTCCCATTTTGTTTCACAGCCTATTGCTCCGTACCGACCATTGACCGACTAAATAAATTATTTTCTTCCATCTATCGTTGGTATTGCGACCCTAAGTAAACACCGCACCAGTAAGTTTCTGTCACGTTGCGAATTCCGTTCACGACATTGCAAAATTCATCTTTTTCGACATTGCGAATACCTTTTGGTTTTTTCGAAACATATTTTTTACTCTTATTTTGTTTATGTACGCCTTTTTACTTATTTTTAAAGCTGCAAATACCCAGAATTTGTATGAATACACAAACACATGCGTGTTTATGTAACATACAGTTATTATCCACGATGAGAGCATGGAATAAATCACTTTATTCCATCATGGATTTTAAAGGTTCTGGACACCATTTGCAAACAGAAAAAAAAATTAAACTGTAATAATATCATGAAAGAGCTCACTTGATTGTAAAGTATCAATAATATGATCATGCATCATGTGAAATCATTGCGCCTGGTATGCTGTCATTTTCGAGAAAAGATGATTTACCATAATTTCCTTGTGTTGGTTAGGACCAAACCATCCCGTTTTCAACGAAAACCAATACTTTGCGTGGAGAAACGTGAAGCTGTAACTATTTTCGCAGTTTTCTTAAAAAGTATGACATCTACTGAGCTGAAAGTTTGACAGGTTAGCTTTTTTAATAACCTGCTCCATATTTATTGTGTTGTTGTTCCTCGAATCGGCAAAAATTCCTTCTTTGTCGCACATGGTGTCCATTACCCTCAACAAAAAAGGGGTAATTGAATTACCCGTAATTGTTCCATCAAATTCATGGCTTATAGGGTTGGTTATATGTAGGGCGAGGTTGTACCGACCGCGCTTGATCGACCAACCAACCAACCAACCAAGCAAACTACTCGACCAGTTCAAATGTAGACTCAAGACTCGCCGGGAACGATGCACCGCGCGCTGCAGTCCGTGTGCTCACAGCGCGTGGCCGTCAACCCGTCTCCACCGTCCAGTTCTCATGGGTTCGGTCTCCCGGCTTTTAACCTACTTAACCAAACAAGCTCCATTAAATTTCTTCGCACGGGCGCGGGTCGACTCGGACAAAAGTGTGCCGCTCAATATTGGTAGCATCCGCACAGGGGGTGTTTATAGGGAGAAAAGAAACAAAACAGAAAACCCCGTCTCCAGATTTTTTTTTAAATTCTATTCAGGAGACAAGTCTCCTGCATGGTCACTTGAGTGTAAGATGATGCGTTAAGGTATAATGAGATAATTGGGATGTCTTGTGCCGAGCAAAAGAATCAATTTCAGCATGTCCAGCCAACCAATTACCATATTGTTTCCATCTCGGATGAAACAATAAAAAAAAACACGGAAATCAAATGAGAGAAATTTACCAGCGAATACTCTCGGGAATGAGATTTGCTGTTTATCAAAACGCGGCTGCAAGACATGCGCTGATGCCACGTTGTATATACATGTATCTCAATGAAGTGCATAAGCCGATACCCTTTCATTGGATTAGTCGCACGCAGTTCGGAAAGGATACAATTTGAAGTCATAAAACCATACCAAAGATGTATCTATGTTATCGGGAGTATAGCTATAGAAATAATTGCAGCGATACATGTCAGACGGCGAGGTTTTATTGGCTATATATTCCACGCTCCGCTGGCTTAGCTGTAGTCATTTTGCCATTCGATGGATAGAAGAAAGTCGCCCTATCGTCAGACCACTGAACCGAACCCTGAGATCCCGGTGACATTTGGAAATTTCACCGGGGCGTCCACGGTGCTGACGCCGTGGGGTGATGGTGGAAATTGGGGTGACGGGGTCTACCGGAAAAGACCCCAGGTTTTCATGTTGTCACCAAGTTAACGAACGTGGTGTGCATACATAAGCAAAAGACGAAATTATTACCAACGAAATTTCTCACAAACGAACAAAATGTATACATTTGAGTCCGTTTCCTCGAGGAAAAATGTGGTTAGCTGTGTCGGGCCAGGAAACAAAATGATACTAGACAAGCCAGTTAGGTCTTTTGACTTTGAAGGGAACAAGAATTGATGGTTATCGAAATTATGTCATTGTGCCTGATGTGTCATGAGTTCATATTGGAAAGGTACAAAAGCGACTCAGATTAACACAACGCACACCTTTATCATCGGGCTTTAAGGGTCCGCTATAACTCAATCACTTATAAGCAGTTTAATCATACAGCTCTTATTTCTTCGAAGAGTTCATTTCACCTGACACATGTATCTATACTTTCTGATCATTTTCTTTTCATGCATTTTATTCGTTTCCAATAATAAAACCACTCAAAATCCAAAGAGGAATGTTCAAAACTTAACCTGTTGTAGTTTCAGCTCAGTGGGTACTTCACTTTTACGAGAAAACAGTGAAAAAAACCGTCCACAGCCTTTCGATCACCAAACACGATTTCGTCAATAGCACTCTTTTACTAACAACGATCAGTCAATTGACTTGATCGTTGCAAACACATGCGTTTCTTGATATCTTCTAAATGACAGCAAGCCAGACGGAATAATCTCACAGGGTGTTTAGAACCGGCACGATATTTAGTCCAAATAAGCTTTTTGGTAATTCGGCAGGGTTACTTTTGGTATCAATGCAAATAATCGATTTACCTTTAATCACAGGCCGCCAAAATCAGTGAATACGATGTGATTTTCTTTCAGAAAGAAATGACAAGGCTGCCGTTTCCACTCGTTTTCCGAGGGAAACTTTCTGGCCCGACGACGTTGGCAGTTTGGGGGTTGATACCACTATATCAGACCAAACAGCAACCCCCATGGTGCTCGACTGAGGGTCTCGCGGTGTACGGTCCCCGTTCAATGACCGCGCCTGGCTCTCCTCGCATCGCTGGAGATATATAGGCGCGCTTTGCTGAGACCGAGACCGTTGGTTGAAAAGAGATTCGTTTAATTGATGTGCGGGCACAATAATGGGCTCAAGAGCAGCAAGAAAAAAAAAAACATTTGACAATACTTGACGATAGGGTGCTATTCACGATGACAATACGCTGTTCGAATGAATCGTCTAGACGCTCGATTGGAACAAAGAACTTTTTTTGCAATCCGAAATTCGGCACTTAATTCAAAATGTTGTACCTTATTCAGGGATCGGTTAGTCTTCATCATACTGAAAGCAGAAATTGCACATACATATGTAACGATTTATCCTTAGTTGTAAGTATACGTGTATCTTAGAAAAGGCCTATACATCACGGTTGTCCAAAGTGACTTTATCTATAATGCATATGTGATCTTTATTTTTTTGTTAAGAAGTTTCAGTAGCCAGAGTGTCTGTTACAAAGAGTGCAGAAGATTAACGCATAAAAAAGAACAAGTTACCTTTTCTTAATTTGAAATTACGGCTGCGTAGATTAATTATATTTCCGACCCATAGTATTTTGTGATTATGAACGATTATTACAGATTGGCAAGAGCGATAATGCCGTCAACTAAAACCTTCACCAGACCTTTGTTAATGAATTAGTCCGTCTCATTCGGACAAAAATCCTCTCTGGGCATTTCCGGTCGGAAAGGTGATCTTCGCTTTCAAACCTCGTCTTCGCCACACACCGCTTTGCCTGTCAATCACTGGATACCAATTCACCGGGATTTGTCCTAGACCACTGACTCTTGTCTCCCCGGACAAAACCTCCAAGACTGCCTTGGATAAACGATGATGTCGCAGCACGCGGACCCTGATTTGTGTGGTTTCTCCGAGCAGGAAGCTCCCCGGCTTGCGCGACTTTCTTGCCCCCTCACGGTCACGCGACGGACGGACGGCTGGGAGCGGGCCACGGTAGCCGGCCACGCGCCGCGCGATAAAAAAAAAAACGGGAGCTGAAAACACCAATTGCTTGTGGCTCTGGTAAAAAGAAAAGCTTATCAGCTGTGTGGTAAACCAACAGTCGAAATTGATTCGCTTCAGTTTAGGAGGGCGGGTGGCGTTGCGACGATCTACGGCAAAGAGTTCTCCGAGGAGATATGTAATCAGTCTGTGAAACGGTCTGTCTGTTGGTTAGTCTTATAGCCTTGTGTGTTTACATAATTATAATGTTAGGATCAGTTAGTGTGTGTGTTTGCCAGTCAATCTTCATTCGTCATTGCTGAGTTTTGTAGCTAGAAATCTTGAAATCTCTGTTCAGTGCTCGCCTTATATGTCATTGTATACAGATCAGCGCCATGCAATTCCATGACGTAATTCTACAAGAACCAATACTGCAATATATTCTCTTAAATTTTTGACTAAATATGTTTTTGTTTTGTAAATTGTGTGTGGTTTTGACTTTTGGGATCTGCCTTTTTCTTCAAACAGTATTCGAAGTTTGAAGTGCTTTTATATAATTGGTGAATAATTGGTTAAGCCCACATCGCTTAAAATGTATCTTCAAGGCGCGACTTTTCTTCTCATGGCAGTTTGGAGGAATATTTTGGAATTTAAAGCGCTTTTAATGACAAATTAATATACACATATAGGCATTTTGGCTGCAATGAACAAAATGTGTTTATAGATGTCTCTCGCGATAGAGAAATTGCTAAAATATATTTTAAAAATGCTGAAAAGGGCCATAAACAAGTCTTCATGGAAACTTCACCAAATGATCAAAACAAGTGAACAAAAGATGTTCACTAGTTTTTTTTTTTAAATGTTACTTAAATGTTGGGGATCTTTCTGCAACGAGGGATTATTGAGGGGTGATGTCAAGCGCCCTCTAGTGTCGAACGTCACGCGTAAGTAATGTTCTTTATGGCTAGTTTGTCATTCAGTGTAATTTTAGTAAAATACATGTACTTTTGAAATGACTAATATATGCATTTGCTTTTGTCTTCTCTTTCACAGCCCTAAAAAGAGAAACATAGTGACGTAAAATAAGGTACCTAATACTTCTGGCGCACTTTACAGATAGGTAAGTAACTTTTCATTTAGCTTACGGGCGTACGTTGATTCGAATCGCTATAAAAATAATAAAACGAGTTTTATCTTGCACAAAATATTTACCCTTTCATTATAATGAAGAACTTCTTCCTGCAAGTTGAAATTTTACTTGCTGAAATTTTAATTTAATGTGAACGCCTCAATCACATTGTTGCACCATTGCACAGCAAGGTGAAACACCCGACAGGACCGGGGAGCGATAATTTGTGTGCGTGTGTGGTTTTGTTTTTTGAAAGAAAAAGTGTAAGTAGCCTAGATCTGCGGGTTCAAATTAATGTAACATTGGAGTTGAAGCCGTCAGTAGTACGGGTATTAGTGGGTTGCTGTGGTCCAGTGGTTACGGTGTTCGACCCGTATGCCCTCGTACTTGGGTTCAAATCCTGGAGGGGGACGTGGTGCCTGTGCTCTTGGGCAAGGCACTTTACCATTATTGCTTCGTCCTTCGGATGGGACGTAAAGCCGTAGATCCCGTGTGTTGTTTAAATGCACTTAAAGAACCCAGTAACACTTATCACTAAGAGAAGGGGTCCCCGGTGTTTCTGGCAGTGGCTGCAATATGCGCCACAGCACCTTGTACACCCTTTATAAAAAGGTGTTACATAATGGGTCTCACATTTCTCATCAACTTCATTTCATGTCTTTACAAAAAGACATAATTACCATCGCCTTGAGTACCTAATTGTTGGTAGATATACGTGCGCTATATAAGACTCAAGTGTTATCATTATTATTATTGCGAAAATTGCATACAGCACGCGCGCACCTGTGCTTCATTATAGATGTCGAGAAAGTACGGTTTTAGCTTTGTTGATTTATGTGAAGATGGGATTAGTACCAAATACCCTGATGTGAATTATTCCGCCCGAAATGGTATATTTGGGAAGAAAACAGTCATTGAAGTACATACGTTTTCCCGGTTTCCTCGAAACTTCAATAAGTTAGTTGTGAAACACCCTTCTTAAGTTTGTAAGCAATTTTGTTGGTTCGAACGAAAACATGCACGAAAAGCCAATGTTGCTATGTACCTTAAGTGGCGGCACAGGGAGTTGACATGGAAATTGGAGTAGTTTCTTACCATGTTTTGTACGTCGTACTGTTGCCACTCGTTGTAGAGAGGCTGTGCCTGATGTGCCATTGCAACCGTCATGCCAACCGTCTCCATCTCCTCCATCCTCGTCTGTCGATTCGCTGCCTCATTCAGGGTCTCCTGCAGGTGCATGATGTAATTGATGGCCGAGCGAAGCGTCTTCACCTTGGACAGTTTCTTATTTCTCGGCTCCGTCGGGATTTTTCTGCGAAGTCGCACGAAGCCATCGTTGACGAGCTGCACCCGCCGTCGCTCCCTGGCGTTGCGTCGCTGCACAAGATGGGGCTCCTTCTCCTTCTGCTGGGTTGGGGGACGGAGGTGCTTCTTCCCCGGGTGTTCGGAACTGTCTTTCCCGCTCCCTCGCCGTCTTGTCCGGACTCCGCTCTGTGACCCATTGGGTCCCGAGGAGGGCTGGTCACTGTCTTGGGAGACAGGAGAGTCCGGGAGATCGTCGCATGACTCGTCACTTGAGTATGAGTCGTCATCCAAAGATGCCGGGGAGAGACACACTTCGCTTGGATCGCTGCTCAAATGTGGTAATGCCATAGTCTTGATGAAGAAATTATCTAATTTGGGAACACTAATGTTTTAAGTAAAATAAGTAAACTAAGTCCACTAGTTGTCCTTTTGACGGACTTGGAATGTTCCCGCGTCAATATTTCGTTACGCTTGAGAGTGAGGACTGCTTGCCGATTATATTAAAACTAGATTAGATTAAATCTGTTCCATTTTCTAAAGAAAGTATTGAACAAGTTGTGAACATTTCAAAAGCCCAAAGGAATGGGTCTATGCATACGAGCAGGTGACTCGCGTGCAAGCAAAATAACTTTCTCGGCAGCTGAAAAATGTCAAGCCCTCAACTCTTGCCCCGACCAGGCTTCTTACAGTCTTATTTACGTATCTCGAAATTCTACAGGAATCATTGAAATAACAGTGTCGTCATAGAGGTTTCTGTGCTCCAATCACTGCAGACTGCGTTCCCGCCCACGCGCACTTCTTCCACCAATCACGTTCGTCTTACGCCCGGGCTGCGCGCGAGTCCTCGCTCCCGTTCGTATCAAGTCCGAGGGCAGCTCCTTAAATCCGATTGTGTTGGGGCATTAAAAGCAACAAATGAACTCGGTGATGCAAGGAAATGTACGGAGTTGTCCCTTCAGCGTTCATATTGCACAAGGCGTTAATAATGCATGAGAAGCAACCCTCGGCGTTGTCCATTTTCAGGGGGGAAGAAAAATACGACAAGGCCCTGGCGTTGGCGAGCCAATTGTCTGCGGCCAGTGCCACAAGTCCGCACATTGTGCGCTCATTGTATGTGCTAATATGACTTTTATTCATCGCTATTAGCGCATGGCGGATTAACAAAGCTAATCTTCGCTCATATGTCTGTATGAATTTTGATCAACTGCCGTCGGCCGACGCCCGGCCTGAGCCAGCCAAGGTAGACGCTTGGACGAGGAAAGTCGCTGAGCTCGGCTGACTGTTCGATCATCTTATACGGACCGCTGTCTTCTGTGTTTGAAAGGCATTGACTCGCATAAGCGGAATGTACATCAAACTCCGTTAGGTTTCGGCACGGTTGCTGATTGTTTTATACTCTCTCGTGTCTATCCAGAGCGGCACATAGCTAAAAATAAACTGAAATCGCTAATAGCCGGCTGTATACATTTTGATTCTAGTGGCATACGCCTAAATAAAATGGGAGGCATGGGGCACCCCCTCACACACTCCGATGGTTCCACCTCTCTTACATAGAAAGGGCAAAAATGGCCTTTTCTTGTTAAAACGCATGGGTTGCCCCCCCTTCAGAAAAAAGAACCTCAAGTGCCCGTTGCAAATAGGAAACGGATTAGTCCACTCTTTGTCTCCTGTGTAATAGAAACATGAAATTATTTGTCTGCAAATGCTACAGTGTCCCCCCCCCCCCCTTTTGGTTGTGAGGGGGGGGGGGGGTGGAAAGGTACAATATTCTTCCAAAGCGGGAGGAGTTGCCTATAGGCCTACCGTTTGTATTTCGATTCCAAAAGAAAATATGATAGAATGGTGTCCGTGAGGGTGCTAGTTGCCTTCCCCCCCCCCCTTGCCCCTCCCACCGCTGGATACATAACAAAGTCAAAGATGTAAGATATTTTAATCGCTTAGAAACGTAGTATTAAGCGCGGTATAAATGTTTGCTATTATTATTATTGTTATTATTAATCGGATTCCGGGTCTTGTCTTAGAATCAAAAACCCTATAAATAATAAAATTGTTATCGCTGCTCGCGGTTCCTCCAGAAAGTGATCGCAGGTATAATTGTTTAATCAGTTTAGTGTTAATGAGTGGTGTAAACAGATCAGATTCTAAACGTTTGACCTCACTGGCAACACAGCTCTCAGAAACAAAACGATTAATGAATAAATAACCAATAGGGCCTATTGTCGCTTAACTGGTTTCAGCTTTTGAATCCACTTACCACCAAAGGTAATAATAATATTTAAAAAAAACCACACCCACACATCTATTTTTTTTTACGCATTTAGGCCCTATGTTACCTCCATACTTTTTTTTCACAGTACATTTTTGAACGATTATACCAGTACGCTTGAGCATTTGGTTCAGTCTGTTTCCTTAAATTGTAAAAATAATTGTATGAATGAAATAGATATCTTGATACGTTTTCAAATTTCTTCGTAGTCGACCTAGTTTCAAAGACTTCCGTGTCTTCCATCAAAAAGTCAAGTCCCTTTGATGGAATATAAATACATTTGACCCACTAAAGGACAGGCGCGGTGCCATTTGGATGCGTTGAGTTCCCAACCCTCACGTGCTTAACAATCAATAACTACGAAATGTTAGGCGTACTTTCAAGTCCAAACACCGGATTTTTTTGCAACCCTACGTCACCGTAGACGTTCCCTATATGGACGTATGTTTCTTTTGATCATATCCACAGTAAATCTGGCAAATCGTGTTGTTTTTCTGCCTTGTCCGTGGTGTTGCCCCCAACAGCAGTCCTGATTTTTTTTTTATCGGGCCCGAGGGCGCGGAAGCCGCACGTGTGGGGAGTCGTATAGGCCTACGGGATGGATACAGCGGGCTTGCCTCGCCAACCACCGGCCGTCTGTTTCGCTTGACTTCTTCTGGCTTCTCGGTGTTTTGCTGTGGACTAGCCGTGGAAGACTTGCACCCCCACCTCTCCCCCCGAAAAAATCCGTGGAGTGCACGTTCACGCACGCTAAAATGAAATAACAACAACGGTACGGAGTGAGCGGAAATGAGAAAATGGGGGAATGGAAGACAAGGAAAACATTTGGGGGAAAAATTCAGAGAATTATTTCCAGGGGCGAGATCATCGACTGCTAATTACTGTAATCAGTTGCGTCTATCAAATTAATAAGTTTGAATAAAAAGTGAGTGACATTTTTATTTTTACTTGAACGTCGTTGAACAGAATTTCCATGGTTAAATTGAAGAGTTGTAACATCTTTTAAAATGGGAAAGCAGAATGTTATTAACATACATTCCTTAATACATAACCATAAAACTTGCAGATTTCGAGCTAAATGACATTGTCAGATTAGATGTTGTTCCTATACGTATTGTAAATCTTTATACGAATTCACTAACCGTAACCCTGACCCAACCCTAACAAGTTTAAACATTTGTCAAACAGTGGCACATGTTAATCGTCTTATGTTTAGGTTTTTCCAATTAAATTAAACAAACAAATACAGAATATGCACGTTGTCAAATACCCTCTAAAGTTTACGGTTCAAAACCTAATAAATCGGGTTTCATTCGGTGTGCCCATAGTTCGGACCATGGAAAAGACAAAGTGAAAAGTGCCACATACTTCACTTCCTAAATCCAATATCTCTTGTCAGCCTTGATTACCCTCAAGGTCATGAAGCGAGGGAGCTAAATTTGGGAGAATCTTCTTCCCTGACGTCTGTATCAAAATGAGAATGTGATATAATATTTATGTGCAGGGGCGGATCCAGTTTTGGATCAGGAGGGGTGGGATGGGGATTGAGCTACCCAGAGGGGGTTTGGAAGGAAACTTACTGTGCTTTTCTGAATGATTTTCGTAATCTTTTTGGTTACTGAAGAGAGGCGTGTTGTATTGTTGGCATAACTCCGATAACCCAAAGTTATTTTCCCCTGTTATTATTTTTATGACCTTGACTTCACTTCAAGCGCCCCCTCCTTCACTTCAGGCGTCACTCCGGGTGCTTCACCCGACTACAAGTACTATGATTGATGGACCGTGAACATTGTTGACTAACCCCCGAGGCCTTAATCGGTTGGCTTTCTGCGGACACCACCAATCATAAATCACGAATCGATGAATAATTCAATAGAATTCCCAGTGACAATGACCTTGGCTTTGAAAGCAAAACTCAAAACGAAAGAAAGATTCTCGATTAAAAAACTCCACAAAGGGAAGGATTGATCAGGCGTAAAGTACGGGACATTCTCTGACCAGGAACGGGACTGACTTGCCAAACCGGGCGGGAACAATTGTGTCCGGCGGACTGTAGGGTGGTTGCCAGCGGCACGCACGCCAGTAGGTCATTGGTCTTCAGAGTACCTCAGTAGTTCCCTGAACTGCCCGTATCAAAAATCCCAAATAGATTTATATTGTTATTTTGCTGATTCTAGTTTGCTCTTCTGTCAGCCGACTTTCAATATCTCTGACAAATTCAGAATGTGGTCGCTGTGAAACCACGAAACCTGTACGAAGTCTCCAACGTTGAACTATTCCAGGTTTGCGTCTTGGCTTCGTTTCATTGAAATCGATTTTCTCTCAAGTCCAACTTCAACGCACACTTGTAGCGCACGCCACAGCAGTCAACCGCCATCACGCAGAATGCTCCCCCCCCCCCCCCCCGCGTCCACGATCAACCAGTGCCCGTATCGTTAGCCCATGGCATCCCCGCAGTCCCGGATACATTATCCAATTCTAAAACCGAAAATCCCGCCTCAAAAGAAAGAAAGAAAGACTATACAAACGCTGAAGGGAGACCCCACACCCCAAACCACGTATTACCAAAATCTGCCACCCAACTCAGACCACCACCACCACCAAGCCCTCGAGTTATGCCCTGCAGCGTTTGGATGTGCTCTTACTCCGAATGAAACCATACGTAAGGAGTAGCTATACGCACTGGCTGGGTTTG